TTGCCTCTGCTCTCGGGACTGTTGCTAATGAAAGTGGGGAAAGACAAGGGAGCCTCCAGGTAAGGGCTGCAAATGAAATCACAGGATGCCTGTGTGTCCGCCAGCTTCCTGCGACTGTGACAGCCAAAGGCCTCAAGCACAGAGACGGGAAAGGTTATTTTGGCTCAGGGTTCTGGAAGTTTCCATCCACGACGAATCGGCCTTGATATTGGGGGGCCTGTCACATATCATAGCAGATGCATGTGTCAGAGATAACCCACTGACCTCACAGCAGAGGAGACTACTGGGGTTCCTGTCTTAGGGTTTCTGTGGCTGTGACGACACACTGTGACCAAGAGCAAGCTGGGAAAGGAAGGGCTTATTGGGCTTACACTTCCACATTGTAGCTCCTCACTGAAGGAAGCCAGGACAGGGACTTAAGCAGGGCAGGAACCTGGAGGCAGAAGCTGATGCAGAGGTCAGGGAGGGATGCTGCTTACTTGCTTGCTCCCCATGGCTTGCCCAGACTGCTTTCTTATTGAACCCAGGACCACCTGCCCAGCAATAGCACCTCCCACGGTGGGCTGGGCCTTCCTCCAACCATCACTAATTAAGAAAATGACCTATAGCTATCTTCTGGAGGCATCGTCTCTATTGAGGTATCATCCTTTCAGATGAATCTAGCTTGTGTCAAATTGACTTAAGAGTGGTCATCGCAGTCCAGTAATTCCTCTTGAGGGCACCTCAACAAAATCCTGCGCCTGTCCACCGGCTCTGTCTCTGAACGTTCCCAGTGATCCCAACAACAATACGGTGGGAACAAGCCTAAAACACCTGCACTCTTGAGGACTTGCAATCCAAACTATAGTACACTGCTGAATTTGAACTTCAGATAAACTGTTATTCAGAATAGGCCTCATGTGATATCAATACTTGCCAGGTACCCCACTTTGTGTGTGTGTGTGTGTGTGTGTGTGTGTGTCCATGCATGCCTTCAAACATGGAGTTCAGAGGACAACTTACAGGAGTCTGTTCTCTTCAGCTCGTGGGTTCTGGGGAATCAAACTCAGATTGTCAGACTTGGCAGCCAGCCCCTTCACTCGCTGAGCCATATTGCTGAGCATCTACATAGGAGAGGCTCAATGAGAGCCAGACCATTTTAGGGTCAGTAACATATGAGTATGTGGAGATGAGTGTCCTTAGCTTCACTGTTTGAAAATGAGAGCCCAGGGCTGGAGAGATGGCTCAGCAGTTAAGAGCATTGCCTGATCTTCCAAAGGTCCTGAGTTCAATTCCCAGCAACCACATGGTGGCTCACAACCATCTGTAATGCGGTCTGATGCTCTCTTCTGATCTGCAGGCATACATGTAGACAGACTTGCATACATAATAAATAAATAGATAGATAGATAGATAGATAGATAGATAGATAGATAGATATTTAAAAAAAAAAAGAAAGAAAGAAAATGAGAGCCCAGGTATGATGGTCACAAGGGAATCCCAGCACAGGTCAGGTTAAGGTGGGAGGATCAGGAATTCAAGGTCATCCTCTGTCTGCTGCAGAACAAATTCAAGTCCAGCCTGGTTTATGAAACCCTGCCTCAAAACCTAGAAAACAAAAGTAAAAACAAACAATAAAATGAAAGCATTTAACAGGAGTTGCATTGTGTGTGTTCTATAGACACACTCATAATGGCTTTTGCGCGTGCATAAAACAGACACATGTATCCACAGTTACAGAAACAAGGTGCTGGTGGGATGGCTCAGTGGTTAGGAGCACTGGCTACCCTGGAAGAGGAACCACGTGACGGCTCACAATCTTCTACAACTCCGGTTCTGGTGGCTCCCACACCATCTTCTGCCATGCTGAGGCACCAAACACAGTGGTACATACAGTCACATACAGGAAAACAAAACAAAATAAAACAAACAAAAACCTCAAACACATGAAATAACCCTTTAAATCTGCATCTCACATGTGCTTATTCTTACAGAAATATATTACCTAAGTATACTGGATTTTGCTTGCTCCTGAATTACAGGTTGCTTTAGAAAGTACAAGGTCTTGAGTGACAGGGCTTTTTGGCAGTTTCTCTGGCTCTGGTCGTGTGTCTTTTAACTTATAGATTTGTACAGCCCTTGGTTTCCAGTATTTTGCCCATGCAACATCAGGGCTTTGGGCGAGGAGAAAGGACAACAGCCAGCCCTGGAAATAAATACATTCCCTTGGCCTGTGGAGTGTGGAAGTTGACTCTCCATCTGCCACAGCCATTTTCCAAGGAACCACAATAGAAAACACTGTGGGCCGGAGAGAGGACAGGCCCAGAGCATCCCTGAGTCATTATTTATTTTGTCTGAGTGGTGCTAAAAACCAGGTCACTCTCAGTCACAGAAACACAGACCTGGGCATAGTGAAACATATGCTGTTCCATTTCTGTAACTCCTAGAAGCTGTTTCCCCGAGCAAGGGAGGGAGGTAAAGGCTTCCTCTGCAGCCCACTCAACATCTACAAACGCAAGGAAAAGGGAAACATCAACATCGTAGTTTTTCCCCTAGCCTCTGTATGGAATTCTCAAAGACCAGAAAAATGTCAGCAGGTAGCTTTGCCCTAATCACAGCTCTGCAAAGGAAGAAAAAGAAAAGAAAAGAAAGAAAGAAAAAGCCTATAAAAACCGCAGGAAGAACTGATAGACTGTGGCTGCGGAAGCCTAGAACTGATACACTGTGGCTGCGGAAGCCTAGAACTGATACACTGTGGCTGCAGAAGCATACCAAGCTTTTCTTCTTTCTTTCAAGTTATTAATTTACAACCTGGGCTGACAGCCTACCACAGGCTGCCTCTGCACACCTAGATGTCTCCAGGCGAAAGAGCCTAAGAGGAGTGGACAACTTGGAAGGGACATTACCCAGGCCCAGATGGCGCACATCTGACCAAAATTAGGAAGGAAGAAACCAACCTCTCTTATCTACAGACAGGTGCTGGGGTTTCCCAGAAAGCCAGTTTAGGAAGGGCAAACAGAGGGCTGTGAGGAACAACAAAGACCCTGAGAAAAGACAGGTCATGTGAGCCAACAGGTGGAAGAGTCTAAGCAGCTGCCCACCACTTGATAACATCATTACAGAGACATTTAAATTATTTAGATTATTGTAACCAAGACGTTCTTAATAACGCACCAAACAGCAGGCACCGGGTTGAAATCAATTAGACGCCACTCCTAAATTATACGGGAGAAATTTACAACAGAGAGAAATTTACAACAGAGTGGCTATGAGGTAGGAACCACGGGTATATGTGTACGCCAGACTCAATTAAGAGCCAAATGGATATTGCCTCCTCATTTACGCAGCAGAAAAAAATGGCCAGGTGTTCCTAAATTTAGGGCAACACATTAAAAAAACAAAAACCCAAAAACCTAAGCTAAGGAGGTGACCGGTTCTCTGAACAGGAAGGAAGGCTCCCGTGGACCAAGAATGGTGTAGACAATCACTTTGGAAGTTTCTTGAGCAGAAGTATTCAAGTGCATCCACAGCAGCTTCCTATGGGGGTGGGCCTGGTGAGATGAAAGCGGGGGCTCTGGGTGGCCTTGCAACAAACACCAAACCAGGGGAGGAACTCGAGGCATTCCCGGTTCAGGGCCGCCCAGAACCGGGGGAAGGGGCGGCGCGGGGGAGTTAAAGCCTCAAGTATGTAGCTTTCAGTCTCCCTTGACAGTCCAGGGAAAGGCTTAGTGCCACCCGGGTAGGCACCCAACACACACACACACACACACACACACACACACACACACACACACACAC